TATATTGCCGGCATACTTTTAACATATGTTATATTGTTGACTTTAATGAATATTTAGTTATTTATTTTGCCATGTACTTGTAATAAAAGTAGATATTTCATCAATCATTTTCTTTTTTATCTATTATTACCTAAGAATATATTCAATATTAGCAAAACCATTCAATTGCATGTTATCTAACAACATTATAATAATTCAATATATCATATGGATATTATTTTCATTTTTCTACATTCTAAAAATAAAATATACATTTGGAATAATATAATTCATTAATATTAAAAATATTTTTTTTATAACTACAATTTTCGACCAAAGAATGTACAATTAAAACCTATTTGGTTGAATCTATCTGCTGTATACAAAGAGTTTATTTAGAATTATAATAGTTTTGAAATTTTTTAATATTGTTTAATTGCATTTCAAAAATACTTATAGGATTTAAAATAAACTAGTTTAGGTTTACTAGAAGAAGCTCAAAATTTGAATTCTTTTTCATAAGCTCTTTTTTTTTAAGTATCTGAGGTATCCAGACTCATATCCTCATGACCATAGAACACCTTACAAACTCAATTGACCAAAATAATTACTCAAATGTGGTAAGTACATCTGCTGTGACTTAAACATAAGATCAGTGACTAAATGGTTTATCATCCAACCACAAGAGAAAGAGATATATAAATTCTTTTTTAGCTTACTTAAAGTGTTAAGATATAAAAAAGAAATTCCCTATATTATTATTTTTTATTTTAATTTTTTTATGTTAAAAGACTCTTTTGATAATTTAACATTAGAAAATTGTTTTAAATTTTTCTACCCGAACCAACAAAGATCTACTCTAAATCTGTCAAAAGCTTTTTTCCAAGCAACTGCATTTTAATTCCTTGTAATTAAACACTTGTACGGATAGAAAAAGTCATATTTTATAAATAAATATAAATATTTATGACAACCAAAACCTGCTTATAAAGCGCTTTTCTCAAAGCACTTTCAAGTTTCAACTGCTCTTTTGCGTGCGTGTCTCTAGAATTGATCTACATAATTAATTATCTAATAAACTCCAAAAGAGGGAAAACAAAAAAAGTCTGGCCAAAATGCACTAAGGTGGGCTACATAATTTAGGTTTTCATTTTTATTTATTCTCTGCATAGAAACAAAATTCAAATACGAACCATATACGGTAAAACCTTAATAAATTAATACTTGATAATTAATAATATCAATTAAATAATATTTTTAGCTGGCCCTGACTTGGGACCAATGTGATAAATTAATAATTCATTAAATTTATAAGAAAATACATTAAAAAAATATAGGTACCACTTGGTATATAAATTAATAATCTCTTCATACATCAAAATTATATATATACATGACTATTAGGAGGCATTTGAGCTATTCACTATAACACATTAACTCATTAGCTATAAGTTAGACTGATAATGTTATTTTCAACCGCTATTTGTTATACTATATTAACTATAAACAATATATATATACATTAAGTTCAATATTATTTAAAAAAAAAAATGTCTCAATAAATAAATAATTTATTAATTTATATGATTAAATAATATATCAATTAATTAATAAATTTTTATCATTTTCAAAAATATTAATTTATCAAAGTTTAATGGTTATAAGTACATAATATTGTTATGTTTAATAAAAACAAATTTTAAAAAATAAAATAAACAAACCCCAAAAATATACATATCTTTTCGTTGTGAGGATGCATCCGCATACGTGTATGTACTGAAATCCCCCTAAGCTATAATTAAATAACTGAAATCCCTAAGCTATAGTAATAACAAAAATCATCCTATCATTAAGTCTTTGGTGTTAGATAAATGGTAGAGGAGCAATATGATAAATATTTATTAATCCACCGTGTTATGAATTCTAAACGGTCAACAACGTCAAGAGAATTTTTATTATTTAAATATTTTAATTTGATTAAATCTTAGGTGGGTTGAGAAAACCCCTAAAGTAAATAATTTAAAGAGTTACATTAATTTTTAAGGTATGATAAAATAACAAAAATCCTTTGAGGATTTAGAAATAATAAAAATACATTTGTCACTAAGTTTTAAGTGTTAAAATAAACGGTATAAGAGTAATTTGATAATATTTACCAACTCACAATAGTTTAGATTTTAATGGGTCATTAATGGTTTATTAACAATAGAGAAATTTTTGTTATTTCAAAAATCAATTGAGGATTTTTGTTATTCTAAAATTCCTCAGGGGGTATGTATTTTGACTCTGTTCTTAATTAAAAGTTGTCATACTAATGAAGCAGTTGATATAATCCAATCAGTAATCAGCAATGCTATAGACATCGAAAATTGGTATCGAAAATTTACACTGAAATACGTGACACCTGACTCGGACATCGCCACATAGGAATCGATAGAAGACTTTCGTAAATGGACGACCGTCCAATATTTTCGGATGGCCGTCTATACTTTCTGGACGGCCATTCATTCAAGAATGGACGACGGTCCATAAAACATATATAAAAATAAACTAAAAATCAATGGACGACTATCCAAATACTAAGGACGGATGTCCCTTTAATATGAACGGTTGTCCAAATTATATGGACAACCATCCAAATAATTTGAACACTAGATGGACAAGCGTCCCTATTTTTCCACTTCCACTTGTATATTCTTTAACTCCTCCCTCATATAATCCATAACATAAAAAATAGTGTTGTTACTCACATTTCCATAGTCCATTAAAGCCATCCTGCTATACTCCAGCTTCTCATTGTTTAATTTCAATTTGTATTCCAGGCGGTTCAGAATTGCTGGTCCACCAGGATGGACTGCCGTCCAAATTCAATGATCTGTTTTGGGCAGTACAAAAAATATTAGTTTTTTCATAATGAGTATTTTGTACTTTAATATATCATAAAGGGTAGGGTTGGTAGAACTTTACCAAACCAAAAAACCGAATGGTTTTTCTTTTAAGTGAAAATTAAGAAAAAAACCTGGAAATATCAAAAGCCACTTAAAAATAGTGAAAATCCCCAACTAGAAAACCGAAGAAACTTAACAGTACCAAATCAAATTTTTTGGGTTCGATTTTTAGACTAAGACCTTATGTTATTGTATGGTTTTTTAACGAATTTTTCTTGTACAACTTGGTTCAATTCGATCAAAATTTTTTTACTGTACTATATTTGTCCACTCCTAATAAAGGGGTACATATGTCCTAAAATAAAATTTAAAAATAATCTGATTATATTATAATCAGCTTGAAAGTTAATTAGTTCACTAAACACTTTTATTGTTATAACTTTAGAATGAAGTGATTAACTCTTTAGGTATCCCAGAAGCACTCTAACAATTTAAAAATAATGTAATACATTGAGCATATTAAATTAAAATGAATGAACTGTCTTTGATTATTTTTTCCATATAAAAATTCACTAAGAATTTGAAAGAAATAGTTATTTATGTATTAATAAAGATAATTTAGTAAGGGTTTGACAAATAGAAACTTTGTTGTATTTCATTTTACGATTTTAGGCAATAAAGTTTTCTCATTGGAGTTTCCCTTTTGATGTTTGTCCATATTTATATCACATCAATAAAAATGCCATATATAGCAGCCATACTTTTAACTTATATTGTTGACTTTAATGAATATTTAGTTATTTTTCCATGTACTAGTATTTCACCAATCATTTTCTTTTATTACCTAAGAATATATTCAATATTAGCAAAACCATTCAAATGCATGTTAATTATACCTTTATTTATTCTCTAACAACATTATAATAAATTCAATTTATCATGTAGATGATATTACTTTCATTCTAAAAATAAAATACACATTTGGAATAATATAATTCATTGTTAAAATATATATACAATTTTCGACCAAAGAATGTACGATTAGAACTTGTTTAGTTGATTTATCTACTGTATACAAAGAGTTTATTTAAAACTATAAATACTTTTGAATTTTTTTAATATTATTTAATTGCATTTCAAAAATACTTATAGGATTTAAAATAAACTAGTTTAGCTTTACTAGGAGAAGCTCAAAATTTGATCTACTCTAATATGTTAAAGACTCTTTTGATAATTTAATATTAGAAAATTGTTTTAATTTTTTCTACCCAATCAAAAGATCTACTCTAATAAGTTTCATTCGAAGCAATTTTATTAAATTGGCTCTTAAAGTTTATTTGGTTGAATTTATATACTAGTTAAAAGAGCTAATTTAAAGTTACAAATACTTTTCAAAATTTTGAATAAGCTATTTTACTACTTATGCTTATTTAAAAGTGTAAATTTTAAAAACATCCTTATTATATTTTATAAATTTGACTTAATCTATTTTTATAAATTAAAGTACTTTTAGTAAATTAAATTAGGAAACTATTTTACATTTTCTTAACTAAATAATTAACATTTTTTTTTCGTAAATCTATATTTTCATAAATTATATTTAAATAAACTTTACATAATGGAATAAGCTGATCCGAGTGTAGTCTTATAAGATACCAAAGATTTGTAAACAAAATGCTTAAAAGATTGATGCAGAAAATGTGTAATGTATTTATAAAAAATAACCCTAAGAGTTGGTTAGTGGTCAAGGAGATTTGTTCACTTCATTAATTTATTGAATTTAAATCACTTTAAAGTTATCTATCATATTAATGTGCCTTACCTTGTTCATTGTAGGCTGTTTGATAAATCCCAATGATTAGTTAAAATGTAAACAAATCGGATTTAAACACCCAGATTTAAAAAAAAAAAAAAAAATTTACAGAAAATGGAAAGAGCAAAACTGAAAGAGAACCCTAGGTGGGGCAAATTGATAGAGAGAGAGAGAGAGAGAGAGGTGTGATGTCATGAACGGGACGTCAGAGTACCAGCTGTCTAGTGGAGTCAAGATCTAGTCTTTATCGCTTTCACTTCTAGCTAACTTACAAAAGCCTTTACCCTTCTCCCCTTGTGCCTGTACCCTTCTCCCCCTGTGCCTGTGGACCATTTTTCTCTTTTCTGTCTCTCTCATTTACCCATTTTTATATTCTTCTTCTTTTCATTTCTCTTATTAGGTTTTCGATTTCATTTCTATGGCTTCCCCAATCTTCTTCCACCACGTGTTGCCTTCTTCTCTTTAACCCTTGGCCCCCCCAATCTTCTGGGAAAAAACTAAGCCACGTACCACCTTCCTACCTTCACTTCTATCTCATTCTTTCAAGGTCTCTTTTTGTGTTGTGCTTATTTTTCCATGTTAGTTTTGGAAACACTTTCTCTCTTTCTCGTTTTCTTCCTTTCTAGGTGTCTACCTTTTCCACAAAAGAGGGCTCAATAGATTTTAACCTTTTTGTTTTTGGGGTTCAAACTCATAATATCGTTTAGTTTTTTAGAAGCCCGCAGCCAGCTAGCTCTAGCCATGAGTAACAGTGAAGCTAACTCCCCCACCACAGAGTATGCTTTATTTTCTTTCTTTATATATAAATATATATACTTCCATTCTTCTGTATAATTTAATGATCTCTAGCAATAGGTTTTGTATATATCAAATAGATCTGATCTCTTGTTGAACATTTGATCGTTTAGATTTCGTTGATCAATCATATACTATCCATACATGCAAGATTTTGGTAGTTTTAGTGCATAGATCTGGATCTGTTCGTCTCTACTGTTTTTACTTTGTTAATAATTAATTTAGTCACAGGAGAGTTAGAAGAGTTTGGGGTTTATACATGGGGGTTGATGATCAAGTAAATTAAAATTAGAAAACAAAAGAAATACTTTAATTCTATATATATATATTCCCTTATTTCTAACCACATCCATGAGATTCTCATGTGTAAACTTTTGGGGTTTCCTTCATTTTGTATAACACAACTACCTTGAATTAAGAAAGGTCTCTCTCTTCCTCTCTCTATAAAGCAAACAAGAAAAAGGAATAGTCACTTCATGCATTGATTTATACACATATAATATAATATGAAGCTAGCTACCAACTAATTCATTTATATATTTGTACTTTTAATAAATATTTTTTGTGTTAGTGATCAAAATGAGGAGCAAGAAATGGAGCAAAGAGGCAATATTAGATTGAATTTACCAGAAGATGGGTATGAATGGAAAAAATATGGGCAAAAGTTCATTAGAGGCATTGGAAAATTCAGGTACATCTCTCTATGTATTAGTTAATCAAGCTTTTGATTTGCATTTCATGTCAAGTATTCTCAACAAGTGTTTGTGTGTTGTGTCAATTTGCATGTGTCATTCTCATTATATAAAGTTAATTTGCATATGTTAGGTCATATATATTCATATATTATGAGCGACAAAGAGTGACCCATTGAAGTGATACGAAATTGAATATTTCTCAATCAAATTTAATGGTTTGACAAATGACTGATCTCTGTGCATTTTGGTGTGTTTAATTAATTATTATTATGGAGGAGCTATTTCAAGTGTCAGAAAGCTAATTGTATGGCCAAGAAGAAAGCTGAATGGTGCCCCTCTGAGCCAGGTAAAGTAAGAATTGTGTATGAGAATCCTCACTCTCATGGCTCAAATAACTCAAGCGGGGCTGCTGGCTCTCCACAATCTTCAAATAATGCCAATCAATATAACTTGTTAACTCAAGTTTTGGGAGATCAATCTTTTACTTCTCAAAGGTCATCAGGCTCAGGATCATGATCAGAATTTTAAGTAGTTCTAATGAACTCCAATTCCCATCTCACCGCACCTCTTATTCTTTCTTTCTTTAAGAGGCTTTTATGGGATGATCAATTGAAGTTCCAATAATTTTCAACTGTTAGTAATTCCTTTTTCCAAGAGCCATTCCACTAACCGACTAGTAAATCACTTCATCTCTCTTCTTGGCATTGTATGTTATCTAATGTATATGTATGCATCAATAAAATGTAAGCTAACAATGCACACCTTTCCAAAGCATAAAAAGTTAATTACTTTCAAATCGACTTTTGTTTTATGTGTTAACTTGTGCTTTTGAGAGTGAGGTGTGGATTTTTAATACCTTAATATTCCAAAGCATAAAAAGCTAATTACTTTTAAATCGACTTTTGTTTTATGTGTTAACTTGTGCTTTTGAGAGTGAGGTGTGAAGTTTTAAAAATTAATTTACAAGAGAGTATATATATAACCATGCATATATATAAAGGACTTTCTTTTGGTGCAACTTTATAACATATATGCATGGTTTTATGTAAATATGCATTATTGAAGTTTCAAAAAGTTGTGTGAATCTCTAAATAGAGAATTGTTTATTCGCTTTAGGAGGCATGAGTATTAAGTAAGATTGCATGTTCGAATTATTTATTCACTATTAGCATGGCATATTGCCTCTTTCTTTCCAGAACTTTATTTATATCCATTACCATTTCTTTTGTTCGAAAAGAGACTTGCTAAAGAAAAACCCCACAGGGTTAACTTGGCGATCAAGGAGGTTTGCTTAATTCTTTGAGTTTCCAGGTTTAAACCTTAGAACCACTTACCACAATAATATTGTGGCTACCTGGTCATATGGGATTGTAGGATATTCAATGGACCTCGAAGATTAGTTGAGATACTCGCAAACTAACCCGAACACCCTAGTTACCTAAAAAAAAAAAAAAAAAAGTTGGGTAAGTGTGAGTTTATAATTAATCAATAATGAAGTTGTGGGTAGGTCATGAATGTCATATCTTTGTGTGATTCCCCTGCTAAGTATCACCACATTACCAATAATTATCTCATTCTTAGTTAATATTTAAAGTTCACCATCCCTCCCTTATGTTATAAGGTTTCTGCAAGAACAAGAGTCACTACCTTCGAATGTAGAATCTTTTATGTAAATCTTTCAAGGAATACGCATGTGAATATTTAATTATAGATATGCAATTCCATTTGTGATAAGTTGTGTACTTCTAGTGAGTTATCCATATAAGTTTTGCCTATCCATAATATATATGATGATTAATTTTATATAAATATCATCACAAAGCAAAAGCTCTAGTTAACCTACATTATTATGGCTAAAATTGTGTATCTCTTTGTGTGTATGAAAGTATAAAAAGTAACATTGAAAATATCCATGGATTTTGTTTACAAAGTCAATATGCCATTTACTATAAGAAATCATATATATATATATATATAATTTTTTTATTTTAGGGTTAGAATCAGGAGTCCAATTTATCTTACACAAGTTCTGACACAATTTTTGAACCATTTGATTAAAACATTTGAATGGCTGAGACTAAATTTGAATTATGATTTTTAAAATGCATTAAGTGTGCAAGTTGTATTAAATTTTAATTATTCAAAGTTCTTAAATCTAAGGGACACAAATTTATGTCAAATTTTGTATAAAAAAAGAAGGGGTTGTCAAACCGTCCTTTATGTATATATGTAAGATGTCCACTTATCTAAAACTAATTTATTTTAATGCATGCATGATACTCAAGTGTTAAGATTATATCTAAGATTGTAATTGGTGGTTCATAAAAGAGAAAATGTGTGTTACCCACACTTGAATATTAATCCACTTGATAATAGGAGATATAGGTTTAGAATATAATAAGGTATGATAGCTACAAGTTTTTCTTTGAGAAGTAAAAAATTCAATATTGTAATAGCAGTTTTTGGTCAAGTTATAAAGTCTATATATATACTTTTAAATTTATCACTTTAATTATTGCAATGATATACTATTAATTTATGAAATTTGATCCTATTGGTTTAGTGGCACCAAAGAATTACTTGTAGAAGGCTTTACTCTTGTAAGTGTTTTTGAACGCCATTTGATTAAATCCCAATTTAAGCCTTTTGGGTTGCGACCCAAATCACCCACAAGAACTCATATGCAGCCCAAAATAACAATTTTTTTGCAGAGAAATAACCCAGGAGTTTCAAAAGTCATGAGTTGTATTGTTCGTGTTCTGAATTTGGCGTTGAATGTTTTAGAAGATTTGGAATAATGAACTTGTTTTTAGGGTACTATAATTTAATTTTTTTTACACTTATGGTGAACTGTTTATCTTTATCCATCTAACAATAATAAAAGATATTGAATTGACATTAAATATATAACCATTTTAAACCTTTATCTTTGGATAAAAAAAGACGAATGACTCATAAGAGTCAAAAATTTAAATCATAGCATTCCAACTCAGGATGACAGTATTTATTTTTTGCATTTTCTCATTATTGTAAAATATAGGGATCCAACAGTTTGTTAATGGAAGTTGTGAAATTAGCTATAGTTATGGAATGGAGGCTTTTTTAGTTTTCAAGTTTTATATCTTAACTGTTTAATTAAAATTAAATGGAAAGTGGTTAACCAGTGTGTAAAAAATTAAGTCAATAATTTAAGTTACAATATCCTAACCATTTATTTATATATTTGTAAGATCAATGAACAATATAAGATATAAATGTAATTTCCTAGCGAGTGGGTTTACAACAAAAACCTCACTATAGTTATAGTAATTACTAAAATCTTACTACCATAAAGTTTTTTGTGTTAAAATAAACAAAAATACTATCTTTACAAAGATAATACAAAGAGGGTTACAAAGTTACATCAGCAAGAATAAAAAAACAAAGAAAAAACGGAAAAAGAGGGAGAGAGAGAGAGAGAAATCATGAAGATGAAGGGTGTGAATTGTCTTTATATGCCCTCTTTGTTTTTGTCTTTGTAAGAATAGTATTGCTCTAAAATAAAAAATAAAGGGGTAATTAGGTAAATATTCATACACTCATCAGACACTAAATTCTAACGATACACTAACGGTAGGGGATTTATGTTATTTCTAAAATCTCAAGGGAAATTTGTTATTCTATTAAACCTCAAAGGGTCGCAGGAAAAACCTTTTGAAAAATGATATGTTCTTTAACTTTGGGGGCGTTTGGTTTGGAGAATGTTTTATTACTGAAAAGATATGATTATTATTGAGATAGATTATCTTAAGATTACTTAATGTTATGTTATATTATATATATTTGGTTAGATTGGAATGAATTTGTGGGTATAAATAATTAATATGTTTGGTTGGGAGAATAAAAGAATCCTGGGAGAGGCCTTTTACTGAATTGCCATTCTTTTTTAATAATTAATAAAATAATAATATTATTATTTTATTATTTATATTATTATTTTAACCCCTTACATTTTGAGAGTTTAGCTAAAACACCCAAGCCACAATAAAAGTTTAAAATTTTATAAAATACCCTCAGCAACCCAAGACGACTACCGGTCGCCAACCACCCAAGACGACAGTCACGGGAATGGCATACAATCGATCGGATCTGACTGAGCATGTGCCGATATAGGCATTCTTTTCTGACTAGATCCAAGGATCTAGTCGTCGTTTTTGGTCAAATCAACGCACGACCAGCTAGACCCAACCGGTCGTGCGTTGTTCCGACGACTACCCGCGGCCAACAGTCGTCTTGGGTGGCTAGGGTGTTTTCGGTTCGGTGGTATTCAAGTAAATAGTTTTCAGAATAAGGACATTATTGTCCAAAAATTTAATTACTTGTGGGTAAAATAGTAACAAAATTAAGATTAATTTATGTAAATGAGATACACTATTGTCCAACAAATTAATTTATGAGGTTACAGAAGTCATTTTGAACAATTGGGCTAATTGTTATTTGATAGACATACGAGGGTATTTGTGTTCGAAATGTTAATTAATTAATGGTAAAACGGAAATAAAGATTAGATTACCTCAATAATCTTAAAATACCACTGTTTCAATCAGTAGTCAAATTACCCTAAAAATTGTCAACAGTAATTATTATTGGTATTGGAAGACTATCGAAATATTTTATTACCTAACAACCAAGTAAAATAATGTTTGGATTAAAAGATAGATTATCGGAGTAATCTTTCATTACCGCAAACCAAACGCCCCCTAAAAGTAAGGGTAATTTTGTATTTTTCCTAAAAAAGTCAACTTTGCCAATAATGGTAATTACAAGTGTTAGCATTTAGGGGTAGCTTGTGATAACCTTCGACAAACATAAGGGTAATTTGTGATGATTCTGTGCAAAGTTATACTTAGGCCTACAATCGAACTGAACACGAACAAATTGTCCCGTTCGAAACTCGTTCGATAAGCATGAAGGATTGTTCGATTTCGTGTTCAAACTCGAATGAACACAGGATGATTGTTCGTGTTCGTTTGATTAACAAAAGGCCAGTTCGTGATCGTTCGACTAACTGAATTCATGGTCTGTTTGTTCTAGAGTAAAATGAGCGAAATTAAACGAATTTGGACTTTTCTCAAGAGTCAAACAACGATTTATGAAAACAGAAAGCGAAATAACTTACGAGAATCAACTACAGCTTCATTGGATCTAAGTTTGCGAATTAAATTGAAATCTCTCTCCTTTAGTCCTTTATACTCTGTCTCTGTTTGTTTGATTGTCTTATTCCCGCCTAACTGCTGAGTGTTGAGGCGCTGGGGCTGTCGCGTTGAGCAAGCTCAAAATTGTAGAAAAAATTAGGGATGTGAACTGTAATGTGAGTGAGGCTGTCGCAATATGCAAAATGAAAAAGGTGGAATTGGATTTGGATTTTGGGCTAGGTAAGGGAAAATGTGGAATTGGGTTTGGACTTTGGATTTTTGGGCTGGGCTAGTAAGGGAAAATGTGGAAAATGTGAAATTGGGTTTATATATGTATATAAAATATGTAATTGTGTATGTACAAAATTATTATTATACATATATTAATCATAAATTAAATATATTTAATATATTATGAAATTACCAAAATTATAAGTTATCATATATTTATTATCATTACATAAATTATCATAAATATTTTAAATGTTTACATATATATTTTGTATCAACACCNATGTAATAGGAAACATAACAACAACTTGATAATTTTTCAGAAATTAAGAATAAATTGTAATTTTGTTCCCTATAACTCTCTTATAATTTTCTTTAGTTAAATTATTTATAGCATAATTTTGCTTCTTTTACTATGGTGGCGTTGTAATATTCATATTTAATGAGAATTATTGACAATGCATATCAGACATTCAAGTGCGAACAGTGAGATATTATTATAATAGAAAAAGCCAAGCTTACTCAGGCACATCCACTATATCTTACTCAGGCACATCCACT